TTTTACTTTCCAAAAATTGTTAAGCAATATTATCCACAGGAAAATTGTAATTTCTCGGTCCCATTTTGACACACTTTTGTTTTATTATATATTAAAAAATAATATATTTTTACATGAATTAAAATTTTATACACTATAAGTATAATTTAACTAACTATAACAACTTACTAACTATTTATTTTACATTACCAATTAATGTTAATTGAAAAGAATTACATGCAACTATCTTTTAAATGATAAGTTGATGTAAATATTTTTTTTCACATGTTTAGATATTTAGCATTTTAACTTTGAACTCTCATAATTTTTTATTTTTAAAAAGAAGAATATAAATTTCGTTTTCAATTTAATATCTTCAGGTAAAATGAGACAAGTGGAGTAGAAATATTCATAATTTCTTTTTCAACGAGAAAAGAAAAAGTACCCGAAAGTGGCGAGCTGAGCCAGGAAGAAAGGATAGTTCTTCAAAGGAACTAAAGCCAGCTTGTAAAGCACCCGATTCCCTACACCTAGCACCACCGTAGCTGTCGCTGCAACCATTATCTCCGCCGTCCGATCACTACTTTTCCGGCTATCATTAATCTCCACCACCTGATCTCCCACCGCACACAACCTCCTCCACTTCTCATTCCCGCTTCCTCCTCCGCCACGGCGGAATACACCGGCAAATTCCGCTGCCTCAATTACGTAAAATCTTGTCGTTATTGATCTGCTGATGATTGCCGGCCGGTGATTAAAGTTAACATGATGAACCGATGACCGAGATTGAAGTTTTGTTGCCGGAACATGACGGCTCACCGGCGACGACAATTCGCCGGTGATTACCCGGCGAATACAAATCGACATGGTAAGAGCAGGATATAATGTACAATTTAAATTCTTAGTACAAAATATACGTAATATTAATTATAATTTTCAGTTAATAATAAGAAGAATTTTGAGAAAATGAGTCGACAGGGGGTGATAGACAAAAGTCAGAGAACGCCATAAATATAAGATGAGTCATGTTTGTGTTGTAATATAATGGTGATTACGATAAAAAGGCAGATAAGGACAAAATAGGAAATAAAATTATATCTTTTATTTTTCTTTTTGGAAATTACAACGAAGGAAACAGATTAAATGAATTGAAAAAGGGACGTTTATTTTAATTTTGTCTTTTTAGTGCTATTCATTTTGGAACCTGATTAATTATGATTCGCGCCGAAAAGTCTACAGATAATGAAATGCTTTTTATCAAAAATAATTTATTTGGCCATGAAAATAAGAAGGTCCTTTTGAATAAAATTATTTAAAGTTCGAATCCGAAATATGTGATTAAGGATAAAAGATTACTTACCCACCACCAATTCTGCTTTTTAAAACAGAGTCCACCACCAAAATCTTTGGTAATTTAATTTTGTCACTCATATCGTGGGAGGGGCGGATCTTCTGTACGACATAGGGGTCACGTGAACCCAGTAACTTTTGTTCAGATAGTGCACATGTGTTAAACAATCCACTAAATATATATAAATATTTGATCGTAAACTCGGTTATAATTGTAAATTAACTTAACGTTATTGTAGAAACCCATAACTTCAAACCCTGGATCCGCCTCTGCATTTGTGGCATTGAATGGGAGTCTTGGCGTTAATTGGTAAAGTTGATGCCATGTGACTAGAAGGTCACAAGTTCGAGCCATGGAAATAGCTTTTTGTAAAATTATAGTGTAAGGCTACTACAATAGATCTTTATAGTCCAGTCCTTCGCCAGATCCCGTACGTAACGGGAGCTCACTGCACCAAACTTTTATTCGCATCATGGCATTCGTATGCATTTTTCTTCCAAAATTTCAAGAGCAAAGTCCGTAATGAACTTTTCTTCTCTCAGTTCTTTTTCTTATTCTAATTTTAATTTGTGAAAACAATGTCAACCCATCCAATGCGAGTACGTTTAAAATACATGTGTAGGTAGGTAAAAATGAAGGTGTACTTACACATCAAGTAGAAATGTATTTAAGTTTCTGAACATATAAGTTATCTTTATTATTCTATATATATTTATATATATATATATATATATATGCACGAAATAGAATTTACATTAATACTTATTACCCACGTACTCTGTACAAATAAGTCAAGGTAAATAAAAAAGAATTTAGGTGACAATATTGACTTCCAAAATAATATCTAGTTATTTTATTTTAAGTAAATACGTCAAATTTAGCAGCTTTTCGTCATTATTTAAAGAAGGAGAGCGTTAGCGTAACTGGTAAAGTTGTTGTCATATGACCAGAAGGTCACGGGTTCGAATCGTGAAAAGCTCTTATAAAAATGCAGGGTCCTTTTAGTTCAGCCCTTCCCAAATCCCGCATATAATAAAAACTTAGTGTATCGAACTGCCCCTTTTGTCATTATTTAAAGTTGACGCAGCCGTAGGCCATTGCTTTTCTCAAGAGAATCTTGTTGGCTTTTAATCATTTAATGGCCCTCTTTCAGTAACCCCAATATTTTATGCAGAATAAATTACACTTATTCTGCACCTTGAAATGCAGTGACCAGGAACAAAGAGAGAGAAGGAATTTAAAATTTACAAAATAGAATAAATTCTCAGGACTTTTGAAATATCCCTTTTGCTGTTTACTTTTTATTTAGTTAACCGGAAAAAGTTTGACTTATTTCTTAGAGAGATTTTTACCTAGCTATATTATAATAAAAATATATTTACTACCTTTATTTAGGTTTCTTATTAATTACTTTATATACCTATATTTACTAGTTTTATATAAAATCATAAAAAGGAGGAAACGAAACCTACCTTAAATATTGAGTATTAGTTACACATAATCCCCTACATTTAAGATACTCTTCCTTTTTCCAAGGAAAACTATATTTGTCTTTGTACTTACCTAAAATCATCACCTCTCTTGGTACTTACCCAAAATCATTACCGTAGAAAGCCACAGAGCCCCAATATTATCACCTCTCTTTGTACTTAAGTTGTTAATTTACGATTTCTCTCGTTAATCATCCAAAATCTCTTTCTTATTTATACAATACATAAGAAATTCGAAGATTTGCTCTACAATCAAGTTATGGGTAAGCTTCACTCTACATTAAAGTTGGTTTTAAGTTGAATTTCATAATGAAACTCGAGGAAGATGAAGTTTCGGAATTGTATTACGGTTGTATGATAAATGTATCATAATTGTATCGGAGTTGTATTTGATATATCAATACCTAAGACAATTCTGATACAATACTAATACTATTAAAATACAATATTGTATTATAATTTAAGTTTAGAGTTTGTTCTAGGTGGATGTTTTAAATTAAAACTTGAAAAATATGAATATCAAAGTTGTATCATAATTTAGAATTGTATCACAATTTGTACCTAAAACAATACATGATACAATACAAATACAAGTATAATACGATATTGTATCAGTTTAAGTTTAGAGTCGGTTGTAAGTTGTATCAGAATTGTGTAAGAATTCTTTTAGGATTGTATCAAATTTGTATTTGAATTATGAGCAGTTGTGAGATCGTGACGAATTTCACAGTTTGTATCACAAATATATGATAATTATATATTAATTTATTAGTATTGTATCAGGTATTATTTTGGATAGTAATGTATCATCTACAGGTTATATACAATTGTGATACAAGTATGATACAATTACGTTTTACGTATTGATGTATCTGATACAATTTAAATACAATTATGATACATTTATTATACAATTCCTGAATATTTTTTCATTTTCAATGTTGTTCGGTCTCCCAGCAAAAGAACGATGCAATTGATGATTTAACAATATAAAATTATCGGCAATGGTGGGAAAAGAGAAGATGGAGATTATAAGCGTAGATTAAAGAATTTTGTTGTAAAAAAAAGGAGAGAGAAGAGGAGAGGGGAAAAAAATGAAAAGATATAATTGAATCCCTTAATTGAAGGCACCAATAATAGGGTGGGAGCCTTTTAAGGAGCAATCTACACAATTTGTAAGAAAAACCTAGATACTTATTAAAAACTACAAAACATAGAAAATATTGGTAAATAAGTTTTTAATATAGTATAACTAGGTAAAAGCCCCTTTCTTAAAGGAGAGGCAGTTCTAAGATTTGAACATTATACATTTGAGTTCGAAATTCTATCATAATAATTCAACTAATTATGTTCAAAATTATTTATTTAGCAATTTTTTTTCACATATATAGAATTCGAGCTAAACTATACTTTGTGAAAATAGCACGAGCTAACCAGTTTTCGGACTGTTAATTAAAAAAATAGTTAGCGTTTGCAAAGTCAGTGAAAAATAACCAATATTTTGCTGCAACACGGAAAGTTCCATCATAATATACTGGAGATTGGTGCACATGTGTATGAACTTCCAGCATATTATACTGGAACTCCAGCACACGAAAAGTTCCAGCATAATATACTGGAGATTGGAACATCTGTGTATGAACTTCCAGCATATTATGCTTGACCGATATATTATGCTGGAACTCCAGTATATTATGCTGGAAGATCACATGTAAGAAATTCGAACTCCAATATATTATGCTGGAATATTTTCCGAATTTTGAACAGTATTTTCATTCAGATTTATCTTTACATGAAAAGTGATTAAATTTCGATTACTTTTGAAATTGTGCTATTTTTCAATTACTACTTGTAAATCTGGCTACTTTTATTTCACCCCTATTTTTTCCTCAAAATGTTGCCAAACTATCTCAGGAATTCTAATTTTCTAGGAGCATTTCTTATTTTGTCATTCAAGACCGTTTTCTTTCAGTTTTCAAGCCAATACCAAAGATATAAAGGATATAAATTTGAAAAGAAAACATAAATATGCTGACTAAAAGCATTCAGCTACTTCTTGTCTAACTTACAGTCTCTCGACGAATGATTCTCCATAACTTTTCTATGAAAGGTACTTCAAATTTTAGAATTGGGATATTATCACATCTGCAAAACAAGACTAGTTGGATACATTTGTCTACTCGAGTCAGGGACGGAGCCAATGAAGACGTTACGGGTTCATCTGAACCCAATAACTTCGACTTAGGCTCTACATATATATTTAAAATCCAGCTAAATAAATACAAAAATAGAGTTTGAACCTAGAAAATTAGACGCGATGTGATAGAATTTTGAATTTGAACCCATAAACCTCAAATATTGGATCCGCCTCTGAGTCGAGTTAATCGTTCTCAAGTTTAACTCAGCAGATGGAAAGAAGCTACGAGACCAGAGGTTGCAAATTATATAGAGAAACCAACCAGGAAAAGGACTATCTTCAAGAAGCAAAGAGATCTGTTCCACTAATAATACAAAAACAAATTGGGAAAGAAATCCTTGCAGGCTTCAAAAATATCTTCAGCAATAAGTATCGCAAAATGCCAATCCTCAAATTATTGTTTCCTTCCTCTCCCCTTCTTAGGTGCCTGTGCCTCCATTTGTTCTTTGCCACCCACTTCTGATATATCAGCTGCAATAAAAAGAAAATGCAGAGCGTTACGATGATAGGAGCATGGCGAGATTCAACTATGCAAGTATCAAATAGAACTGCTCACGAATCCATACGCCCAAAAATAGAACTTGCAGCTATGCAAGTATCAAGAAGGCGGACTCAACAAGATTTAAGATCAGATTATCATTGAATGTTACTCGTACAATACAAACAAGGAATTTGAGAGGAAAATTAGATAGTGTAATACCATCTGGACCACGAGCCATCAAGGTGAAAAAAATGTTGTTAAGTTTCTCCATCTTCTTAGCATCCTGTGCTTGGTCAGTCCTAAACTTGATACACTAGCAAGAAAATTCAAAATACAAACCATTAGAACAAGCAACACATATGGAAAATTCCTTAACTAGCTCCCACCAAGCATGGGATACATTTATGAGATACCAAATGCATAAAAGGGAAATATTACATAAAGGAGCTGGAAATGTCCCTCTTTTCATTCATAAGAGAACAACAACAAAAGGAGCACAAACATTTGCACTAAATTGTAATGCAAAGACAGAATAACAACTTTATCCAACACCACGAAAGAAACAGCAATGTGAAACATCTCCACCCTGTGGTAGAGCTAGAGGTAAGGAAGGGGGTTCAATTGAATCCTTTTCGTTCAAAAATAATGCCAAACAAATCTTTTTGAGAGTAAATGAACTGTTGTCTCTTTAAACATAATGGAAGCTTCTAGATAGTGCATTTGTTTGAATCCCCTTTGCTAGAATTCCTGGCTCTGCCACTGTCTCCATGGCTCCACCCGAAACTTCCAAGTCCAGACCGTCACTATTTGTATCCTATGAAGGATGAGAATTTCTGAGATACAGCGTCCCCAATTTTTAGCAAAGTCTCTGGTACAGATCCAACTGCCTATGTATGTGTCCTCAAAGTATTAGAATCATAGCAGCATTTTAAATTTTCAGCAAAGTCTCCATAACTTTTCCATGAAAGATACTTATATAACTTTAGAATTTGGGTATCATCAAAGCTTCTGACAGAATGTTCAGTCACCCAAGTAAGCTGCCAAAAGAATAAAATCTCTTCTAGGCTTCATATATTTCTAATGTTCAAATATAGAGAGCCAAACGAAATAAGGTTAACCACAAGCTGGATAATAAGAGATCGGTAAAAAAATGATGAGGGAGGCCCAGTTCTTTGACACAATGGCGAAGGTTGCACAGTGCGGGATTTGTGGTAGTTGCACGTCACGAGTTCGAATTCTGCTCTGAGTTAAGTTTGATATTCAAGTGGAGAAGAGTAAAGGGACAGACCCATTATCCATCGAGTTTCTAAGCTGGAAACGACAGATTTCTCGGTTATTAAAAAAGAATCATAGTGAGAGTTGAACCATAAAAGAATATGAGAGAGAAAGGAAAGCATGGCAGGCACTGAATCAAAGATCTTAGTGTGCCCTCTGCTGAAGTTTATGCAGATATGTGAAGCCTAGAAGAGATTTCCAGCAAAATATCTGGACAATACAAACTATGTGATTTGAGAATCAAAAAGTTTTGCTAGGCCATTTTTTTTTTTGATGAAGTGACATCATTGATGGCATCAAGAAGATGCAATTAGTACAAAGTTTTTGCTAAGCTATATATGCAACCTCTCCTAATAAAGCTTCACAGAAATAATATTAGAAGTCATTCCCTGGTAATCTCAAAGCAGTATTGTCAAGGGCGAAAAGCGTTAAAAAGCATTACGGGTCTATCACAGCTTTAAGCGCAACTAAAGTGTGGCATTTATTTTAAAAAGGCACAAAACAAAGAAAAAAAATAAAAAATATATATGTAATGCACGAAAAAAGTAACAATTTTATTCATAATGATTTCGTTAACAATTAATATATCTTTTTGCCAATTATATTTATTGTTTTTTACCGCTTTATCAACATAGAACTTATGGGCAATGAGGCACGCGCCTTGGTGCTTCGCCTACATTGAAGTGCAGCCTGTGAGCCGAAGTGCATACCTTGAGCTTCAGGGCTTAAGCGCGCCTCAAATGAGCCTTTAACAACACTGTCTCAAAGAAGCAAAAGTCACAACCTAACAAAACATATCTCCCTGTTCTCTCTACCCTTCGACTGCACATGTCTTCCCCCTTCCCTTCTCCCCGCTTTAAAAAGTTAACTTTTTCTTTGTTGTACTTATACATCTGTCAGAATTTTCTCTTTGACCTCTTGACCAGAAGAATCAACTTCAAAGATCCAAACAAACGCATGTACATGATAAGCTTCAAAAAGAAGAAAGAGAAAGGTCCATGTTATTGTAAATAATATGGAGTGTGGTACTATCCATTTTAAGAACAGTAAAAGAAATATTATCTGGTTAACTATAAAGTGTTGGCTTAGTCGTCCTTGATACTCTAAAATTTCAGTCCGCCAAACGAAGCTAATGTCCAAGGATTGCAAATGACTTCACTTCTCACCATAATAGCTTTTCTCGAAACACTGTCTAATTGTTGGTGTCATTGCATAAAATCGTGTCCTTCCTAAGGTGTTATACTAGTTGGTTCCACAAACTTAACCTGCTTTCTTCTTAATCATTTCTTTTCCAGTTACTTTCCAACTAAGCACAGTAAGCAGTGTTCTCATCTCATTCTGTCACTTTCACTCCTTTCTGGCATTGAATCTCTTCGGAGTTCTATCTTATCAATGTTAGAGCTATACAAATTCTAACATACAAGATAATAACCCTAAAATATGCCATCAAGTATGATCGACTTCATAATAATATGCATCATTAAAAGCACAAAGCTCCAATGCGAAAAGCTGATACTCTTTTTGACCCTCGATTAGTACATTCTAAGTTGGATAAAATTGTAATCACAATTAATATCTGTATTATTATAAAAGCACCCTTCGAAAACTAAATAATTCATTCACATAGATAATTCTATATTGGATAAGATTGTAACAATAAGGACCCTGCCTGATATTTAAAGATTTTAGGTAAACATAACTACTAAAGTTAACCATTTAAGTTTATTTTAACAAAAATACTTATCCTTGGGAACAATAGTTCTCGAAATAATCGTAGGACTTTTCCTCAAGATAAGCATGTCTTATTTGATCACTCTCTTGATCGACTATGACCTTTAAATACATGTAAAATTTGAGCCTCATCAAGTTTATGCAACCAAACAGTTTATCAGAGTCTTCCCAAAGATGACCATCTTCACTTAATGATTTTATTTTATGCACAAAAGGACCATATATACACACACACACACAGTCACACACACACACATGCTTGCTCTGATCGTTATTACATCATATGTCTCACTCAATATGATAAAAAGCATATTCAATAGCATCAACTCCATACCACAAATATGACACAACTTGACTTTGATCATCAAAATTTAACACAAGCTACTTAGTGCTTCTTTATAAAAACGTGAATGCCATTCTCGTCTAAGGTTGTAGCTTTTACACACACCACATAGGATTCAAGAGAGAACAACAGCAAAAGAAGCCCAAACATTTGCACTAAAATGTAATGCAAAGATAGAAATGTCAGCAATAGAACTCGACCCAAAAAGAAATAAATAGAAACAATTGAAATTTCAATTCAGCATCCATCGTACGCACAAGATATGAACAAAAATAGCAAATTGGAGCTGAAAAAGGAATATTTACCTCTGTATCATCGGTGACCTTAAGAACCAATTTACCCTCAGAATGTCTGTATTTCATCACATACCGAGTCTACAAAAAACACCAAATTTATTTACTCCCATCAATCGATTTTATATATGATTAATATTAACAAAACAAAGGATATAAAACCGGAGTAGTGGAAATTAGAAGATTACTTTCTCGGGATCGGCGCGAAATAACTGCACGGATCTCTCCACAAAATCATCCCACGACGTTATATACACCATTCTCTCTCTCTCTCTATCTCCCTTCTCTCGTTCCAATTCAATGGCCGCCGAGGTTTTCCGATTTTGCTGCTCAGTTGGGTTTTAGTTTGGCGTTTCAAAAGTCTTTATTTGGTATTTTTGGAGTCGCTGAGCAGGCGATGCCAATGGGCCTTGAAAAAAGCGGGTCCCGACCCGGATCGGCTATGTGGCGTTTGGGCTGGCCCGCTCCAAAGACGTTGCTTCTCACTGATTTTCGTCAAAATAGCACGGTATAGCCAGTTTTCGGACTGGTCAATCAAAAATTGCTACCGTTTACGAAGTCAGTGAAAAATAACCACTATTTTGCTGCAACAGAGACCGGTCCCGTATAATATACGGGAGTTCGGTGCATTTGTACACGAACTCCAGCATATTATGCTGGACCGATATACTTTGCTAACTCCTGTATAATATACGGGAGACTGGAGCACGGGTGCTCCAAATTCCAGTATATTATACTGGACATTTATACTTGCTGAAACTCTTGTATATTATGCTGGAGTTCTGGTGTACTTATGCTGGAACTCCAGTATAATATACGGGCGTATTTTCCGGATTTTGAATAGTGTTTTCGCTTAGATTTATCTTTACATGAAAATTGGTTAAATTTCGATTACTTTTGAAACTGTGGCTATTTTTGAATGATCAGTTGTAAATCTGGCTATTTTTAAATTTCTCTCCTGATTTTCATATGTTATCTTTATATAAATAGCGGGGCACGTCTAAATTCACTATTGGGATCTTTACATAAATAGCACATCATATTCACTATTTACTTTTTCTAGAAGGTATAATACATTATATAGTGATTATACATATTTATACACGTATAATACACAAATTATGCATGTATTATACCTTCAATAACTATTTTTAGTTTAAACAATTGGGTGAACGGCTATTTGTATTATATACACATAGGGGTCATTTGGTTGACGGTTAGAGTTACGCATGAATAAGTAATGCAGGGATTAATTATGCATGTATTAGTTATACAGAGATTAGTTATGCATGTATTAGTTATACAGAGATTAGTTATGCATGGATTATTTTTTGAATATTTGGTTTGTTGTGTTAGAAATTGACATACATTATATAAATTTTACAGTTAAATACTTATTTACTAATTTTATCTCTAATAGATTAAAAAGATGATGAGTCGAGCCCTGTGGCATCACTGCTCTCCAAATGGTTTGATACAGATCAATCTAGGAAGCCTTTATGTGTAAAGTGATCAGGGTAAATTTATCATTTCAATATTTTATACATGTATTACTAATATATGTATTAGTTATTCCATCTTCTACCCCGCATAAAATAATACATAAATTGGCTCATAATTTATACATGTATTATTTATATATGTAGAATTGTAAAATGACAACCAAATATGGTATTAGTTATGCTGAATTTTGTATAAAATAACTAATGGCTATTAAACATGGTATAAGTTATGTTGCCTCCAATACATGGATAACTTTTCTCCTAACCAGTTACCAAACGACCTCTTATTATACCCAGTTATACAAGGCAACTATTTTGGTTAATTCTTTCTTTTTATAATCAGCCATTCAAGCAAAGTATATTTTTGTTGGTTTCTTACCCGATGCTCAGTACTCGTTTAATCCGGATTCACCTCAAGAAATATCATTTTAGGGGATAAAATGATCTCCATTAAATGTAATTTTATTGACAAAGCTCGAATTCGAGACATCTGGTTAAAGATAAAAAGGTACTTATCAATCCACCATAACCTTTGAATTTCTTTATGGAATTTTTACCTCCTATATCAAAGGTTAACACCTTATTTATTTAAATAAATACCATTTAAAAAAATTTATATTCTATAGATACCTTTTAAGGTTTATAGCAAAATATTTAATTTTGGTTACCTCCTAGCCCTAAGCCACTAAATACGCTATTCAGTTACACTATTTTCTTTCTCTCTCTACTTTGATACATCACATTCTTTTCCCCCATTCCCTGAAAATACGATGCTCAATCTCAAAATTCCTCTCACCCACACTATTTTCTTTTCTTCTCGGAACCAAACAGAAAATCGCTCCCACCGGCGGAGACTCATGAATCGGGCCGGAAAGCGTTGTTTGTCTTCCATATACCAGTTTGCATTTGTTTATTATCACGCAAGTCAAATCAACATTTTGAACTAAAATATTTGCCTTCGTTCCCAGCTTTTGTCCATCTCTGTTGGTCCCTAGCTACTTTCTCTTTTTCTTTCTTTTATCTTAATACTAGTAAAGAGAAGGACATGAATCTTAGAATATTATCTCTATTTTTGAACGGTGGCGGATTCGTCGGAAATTAGGGTTTGTTTTTGAACAAAGACGACAGAGTTTGGGCTGAGCAACTTGAATTTTCTGTTAATATATTTCAATGTATCACGTTGTATTTTCATGTATTTCATTGTATTCATTGTCTTTTTTTTTCATTGTAATTCAATTTATCTCGTTGTATTCCACGTATTTCATTGTATCCACTATCTTTTTTTTTTCCATTATATTTCAATGTATCCCGCTGTATTCTATGTATTTCATTGTATTCACGGTCTCGCTTTATGCCATGAATGTATTCATATTTTTTTAATTAATATAATTTATGTATTCAAATGTATTATATAATTTCTCTGAAGATTGC